GTTTAATTCCACAAAGTAGATTATAGCTCACAGTGGATGCTGTCTATTATTCGTATTTGCTTGAAAAAAGAAGATTGTTCCTGTAACAGCCTGGCCCTGAAGCACATCCAGAAGGGGAATGGATGCAGAGCTGCCTCAGAAGCTGATACAATCAGACAGATATTTAAAAAAGCCTTCAGAGATTTTACACCCTCTAGTAGGCTGAGGCTAAACAGGATTTGTCAGAAGTGGGAGTGGGTAGCAAGATAGGCTTTGTCAAAGGCAGAAACTGATGTCAGGGTGGTATTGGTCAAAACCGCCAGTCTTTACAGTCAGTTCCTGTCAGTATTATGCCTTTGAGATAGCCAGTCTTCAAACTAATGTTTTCCAATGAGCTGGCCTTCGGGAGTCAAAGAAACAAACAAATTAATCTGAAAGAACAAGCCTGTCTGAGACACTGATAAATCTCTTATGACAGTGTAAGGCTTATTAAACACTTAGAAATGTATTTCCCTTGCCTCTGGGTCGAATGCAAGTTTTAAGGTTAATAGAGGAAATCAGCATTTAAAAATATGCCATGTGAACTACTTTTTTTTTTTTTTTTTGTATGCTGCTTTTGACAAGAAATTAATGATTTCATATGCTTTACTCAAAAATACAATGAATGTTGTAAGAAGTCATCCAAATAACACGATATTCTGAGTTATAGGGACATAACTGAAATGGGAGAGCACAGATGACGTTAAAATTGGAGAAACAAGGGAGTCCCAGGTCTTCTCACATATATTACCATTCATCTGTTCTTGAACATCAGCACTGGCTTGCCTCCATGGATGCACGATCTTTGCTCTGTCTGTACAGAGATGAAAGGCAGGCTAGCTGAAGCGTATTGCCGAGGAAATAACTCAGTCTTGATAAAAGGAGTGCTTTGCAGAATGGAAAAGCTAAACAGTGCTGTTGATTATCATGATGCATGCTACAGCAAAAGAAGGTGGAAGCACAGGGGCTGCCTACACACAGCTTTTCCTCTCAGCAGCAGTCGCAGTTTCAGCATGGATTTTTCTTGCAATTTACGGCTCTGGAGAAGGATTCCTCTGAGTTGAAAGGTTCTTGCAGGGGACAATGGTACAAGAACTTGACCTGCTGACTCCTGCTCCAGATATTCATAGAAAGAAACAGACATACACAGATATATATGGAAAAAACCCACGTTATCCATTGCCACAGCCTGAAGAACTCACCAGGTGGAAAACAGTTATTCTAAAACCTAGCCTTTCTACCCCACAGCCCCCATATTTCTTCCTTGCAAAGCACGTTATGTGGCCTAAGCAACTACCTGATGGGATAGAAACCCTTCGTAACCCACACTGTCTTACTGGTTGGTTTCCGTCACTGTAAACCATACTCTCAGGCAATAAGGGGAAAGACCATTCATTTTCTTATATTATAGGACATATGCTTAATGTACCTGTTGTCTCTGTATGGTAGCTGATGGTGCCAGGCAGACTTTAGATTTACCTCAATACTCCAAAGAAGAGTTGACTAACGAGCTTGAAGGCCCTTCAAGTAACTTTCCCGTTTTGGGGGGAGTCAGTCGATGCTGTTCTCCAGAACCCTGATAGGCACTGATGTGTTGAAAACCACCATGCTGCAAAGCAATCAGTGCCCCTCAAAACCAGGGTTGACCTCCATTGTTGACCCGGAAACCAAAAAAGACTTTTATAGTCTTAGTCTCAGTAATGTCACTGATTTTTTTAGTGTGATTATTCATTTAAAAGATTACGATCTAATATCCACTGTTCGAGTTAGGGATTTTACACAAAATGGCTCTTTTAACGTGTAAAAGGAATAGTCTTATGGCCTAGACTCAAGAGGCAACACCGTTCATGCTCACGTGGGCGAATCCAAGTCATTCTTTTACACGTGCACTGGTTTGGGAAATTTAGTTTCATTTTTTGGCACTACTGGTGCCAAACACTCTTGTCAGTGCACAAAATTAAACATGGCAGAAAGCCTGAATGTCATCAAGGCCCACGGAGAGAATGTTTTACAGTGGCATCTTTTCTTCACATCACGGGTGGAAAGAAACAATTCGGTTCTGGCACACAATGCGTCATACAGCACACACCTACATTTCGCAGGCACAGCCCGATCAACACCCACACACGCTAACTTTAAACCAACTGTTTGAGCACAACAGCCAAGGCAGCATAAAGCTTTGTGGGGGTTAACACCAAAGTATATTTTTTTCGTTTCCTACGCCAGCAGGTAGGCTTCCCAGCCGGAGCTTGCCGTTACCATGGCTACATTGCCAGCCGTCCCCAAGTCAGCTAGTTTAAAGCTAATTTGGGTAAGCCTGCATTAGCTGCAGACATTTTAGTGACTGGCACTGTAGAGATATTCGCAGCAATGAAGGGTTTTCAGAAGGATTTCAAAATAGCCATGTAGTCTGTTGTTTTTTCAGATGTCTGCTGGCACTGTTACCACTGATGGAATGAGGACAGGTACCGGCAGGCAGACTGGCGGACAACGTTCCCCAGTAAGTCCAAATGCAAGGGAGTGCTGCAAGCAGTCCAGATTGTTTGTGATTGATCTGATACAAAGGTATAGACAAAATCACAACAGTGAGCATTTTATGTCTTTAAAACTCCATTTTGTTTTCTCTGTTTTCCATTATTCCAAGTGTAGAGCTTCATATGAAAAGAACTATTTCTGTATCTTTGTGGCACCACATATGAGCTTAGATTTACATTTTTTAAAATGAATTCTTTATATAAAAAAGGTAACTTAAATTATTACTATGCAGAGCAATTAATTTGTTAGGCACAAATTAAATTGTAGACACAAGCGAAACTACTATTCAATCTCTCTATCTGAATTTCTTTTTCTTCCCATATTATCTTCTCTAAGCCTGGAATTAGTATACCGAAGCATCAAGTAACAGTGTCCTATCATTCCCTTATCTGCTAGACACCGCATTTGTACTCATTTCAGCAGTAAGCTACCTCTATAGTCTGAAAAATCACTTGACAGTGCATATATTCAGGTTGCACTCCCTTGGAAATAAATAATTTATTGTTACCTGGTCTATAAATATCCTCAGCACAAGTCATCCAATAACCATAATGTAAGCTACTTTAATTGAAGAAGAGACCAGTGGTCTCAACTGTATTATAATGCCTCTTAATAGATTACCTTAACAGCTATGACAGTCTGCCTAAGTAAGTTACTGTCTCTCTTCTGAATGAAATATTTTCAAATAAAGATTACTTGTAAGTGCATTTCCTTCAAAACGATTATACAGCCAGATCAATCTCTGTGATCATGTTCATTGAAACTACACCAAAAGGCAGTGCCTCTACATTCTCTTCAATGGGTAACAGGACATTGAAGATGCTCTTCCTTTACCCACACATTTCCTATTACCAAGTCCAAATTAATTTGAAGACTCGAGAATTAAAGCTGCTTGGCAGTTTCCAAGTGGTCCCTCTTCTGTATGCTGCGCTTACAGAAATAAACTCCCTTCCTCACTCAAAAGACAGACTGCTCACATCCACCATCTCACCTAGAATTAACATGAGACTGAAAAAAAAAAAGAGGAGGTGCCAAAACCCACTACAGAGCTGCTCCTAAAACTGGGTGTCAAATATGAGTCGAACCAGCAGGAGAAAATAAGGTGTGCATCACTCCACACAGTACATTTCACACATCCTACCAGGGAATTAACGCATAGCAGCTGATAGATTTTTCAAGTCACATCCTTACTGTATAGCTTGAATTTGTGGATGCAGTTAAGAAATTAATTCATTTATCTCCATGGAAATTCTTGATGCAGTGTTTGAATGTGTTCTAAAATCCTGAAATAGAAAGATATCTAAAGGGCCATAACGCTATGGAAGAAAGGAACGAACCATCTGGATACTACCCCTCAGTGCTTAACAGCCAAGAAAGTACAGAGGTTTATGTTAACGGTAGAACAAAACTTTGTAACTCTCCTACCAATAAGGAGGAGAACTTAAAGTAAATGTCAGCTGAAACACAGATGGTCTCTTCCTCAGAAAGAGATTTTGCTGTCACGCAGTTTCTTCAGACATCATGACTAGCTAATCCAGTTACTAATGTGCACTCCATGAGCCTCACCTTCGCTACTACCTGAATGTCTTAATTTCTACAATTTTAAATTCATATTGCACGGCAAGTTTCTATAGCTGTCCACTGATTTTATGTCCATTCATTTTTAATTTATTAATATTTTTCCCCCCTTGTGTTATCACTAAGAAGTAACATCCTATGCTGCCTATACAGTTTTATATTTGCGCCTCGTTCTGGAAATCAGTCAACAGGCGGAATTTTACAACTAGAGGGTGCTGGAGGACCATAATGTGATATGGTATGCAAAACTCTCAATGACCTTTAGTGGAAAGAAGAAAAATAAATCAATTATTACTGCTCAGTAGGACAAGTTAATATATTCCTAGGTAATACAAATATTGCAATATTATCTAGTGTAAGTAAAAAGAAAATTAATACTTTATAGCTGGTACTGTTTTATTTTAAATTCTGTTTCAAATTTGCTGTCAAACTTTGCTTCTGTCCTTAGTTTTTGTGCTGTAATGAATGAAAAGCCTTTATCTTAACAATACACATTTCTTTTGCTTCCTTTTGTGTGAGTTGGAAAGCAATTACAGTGTATTATTGATTAAATGTTTTATGATAAAACACAAAAGCCATCAAGTAAGCAGGAAAGCAAGAAGGAACAAAGATTAATTTAACAATAAAATCTATAATTGAGATTATACAGATAGAATATGGACATTAATTACAGATAAATCACTTAATAAGAGTTCTAACAAGAAAATTATCTTCCAAAATTCATATAATTTCCAACACAGGGTAATTATTTTCTTGCCTTCCAGTACTGTAAGAAAAAATACAAGTATGAGAATAAATAATGTCTGTACAGCACTCTGACTGTAAGTATAAAAATTACCCCTCCCTTCCTTCCTCTCTTTGGCTTATCCTTATTGCTTCTTAGAGTCTCTGACAATTCTTCAAATACCTTCAACAGACAGAAATATTGAAACTTTGAACTAGACCTTAAAGATAGCATTCCCACCCCATTTCAGCCTGGCTCAGTAACATCTTGGATTTCCCTTCTGTTTCCCCAGATCAGAAAAAAATCCAAAGGACAAACTGTGGCCACCCGGTAAAGTGGCTCCCTGCAATCTCCACGAGGAAGTGGCCAGGGAGCCGGTGCAAGGTGTGTGGCCGTGTTCTGAAGGGCAGATGTCTGCGACCTAAACACGAACAGTTGCCGCCGGGCTGTTGATCACAGAGCGGCAGTGGTTAGAAAACTCCCTGGGCACAGGCACATCCGCCAGACGCCCAGCGAAGCCAGCGTGGCATGCTTCTCTCTTTTTATGTCCATGCTTTTGACCTTCTGGTTGTGCGGCCTTGCCACATGCGGGTAACACTCACGTGGTGGGCAATCCCCAAGTGATCCAACAGCCCACTTGGGGCCTGCATGGGCTCAGCACACCCCGGACCGGCGAGAAATGTAGCACAACAAGTGCAATTGTGCCTGATTCCGCACTACGGAAGGTTTCACGTGTTTAATTCAGTTCCTTCCTAGCCCATGAGGAGCCAATAATTCCTTTTGTGAATTGCCAGGTTAGCAGGAACTGTCTTATTTTCACATTTTAAATAACCGCAGTGTCCCAGATTTACAGGCGGAGACACGCTTCGCTACGGCACACTCTGGAGACCTGAGGCCCAGTCCCTGCGTGTTCCCAGGGAACACACACCGCTCGGACACCTGTGTACAAGCAGCTTTCTTTTGGCTGTTTTTCACCTCACGACTCGCTCTTACAAAGGGATGTACCCTGGCACCCACAGGAGACCACAAGTCCTGCCCTACACGTGTTTAGGTAGCCCCCGTGTTATAGGGTTTCCTCCAGAAAATGGAGAACATTCTCCTATCAGAACTGTTCCACATGTAGGACCTTACTCTCCAAAAAGCAGCAGCCAAATCAGTGAGTTTGTGAGGGCAAGCATTAACTAACACACAGGCACAAGGCTCATGATGTATTTAAGAGTCTCATCCCCTCAGACCTTTGGACATGTCTTCACTTCTACTGGTGGCGAGGTGTTAGCTTTGGCCATCTGTGCAGGCAACAGGCAAACAAAAAAAGTGTAACTAGTGATAAAAATGGGATTTCATCCTGACAACAATTGGTTTGTTTGAACTGAAAGCTTTCAAGGGGACAAACAGAACAAACAGAGTAAGGTGTATCTGAACTCAACAGCAGAAAAAATGTGACTTGTATACTGCAGGCTCGCCAGATGCTACAGAAGATGAGCCAGAGGAGAGAGTAATGCAAAAAAGTATAACATAATCTGAGACTGAACTGCATCTTGTCATCTTTCTCTAAAACTCCTGATACCTTCAGTTTAGAAAGGGGTCTGTTTGTTTTTGACATATTGTATGTGCCCAAGGAAACAGCAGTCAAAATCTGGCCCCAGGTTTTACAGTCAGCATGTTCTCACACACTTAAGTGTGTCTGCTTGATGGATACAATTGTCTTTTTTTTTTAATTTTTTTTTTTCTAAATGAGCTGATTTTACAAAATTAGTAATTCTCTGATCTTTATTTTTCCACATAGACAAGATCAGCTTATTCAATGTTGCCTTCACTTACAAAGTCTAAATAATATGAATTACATCTTAGCTTTTTCTTCAGCAGTGCCACCTAAAATTACACAAAAACAAGATGTTTGGGTTTTTCTTTTTCCTCTGGATGTCAGCAGAAAAGCTGTTAAATACTACATACACTAGAATACTGATTTTAATAATACTCAACGTGCACATCAGTTTCATTGTCAGAAACACTTTAAATCTCTGTATGTTACTAATAACTGAAGAGCGTTATTCAGCTTTATAATGTAGTATGCATTGTCCTTCATATATATTCCTAAAGCAGGATGTATGCTGTACACTTATATACAACGCTGGTCAGAGCACAGACATTGCGGTGTCATGCGTTCATTCAAATTTCAGATGCCGTATGTTCAGTACAACTGCATGGCATCAAAATGCAACATACTGCTTTGCAAAGGCAAATAATTTCACACAGTGGCCTTCATGACTTGGAAGGGGTAATGAAATGGGATATATTTTACATTTATGAAAAAATAAATAAAAGATCTATCATAAATAGATGGACCAGTATATGACATTGAAGAACAAGAAGCAAAAAGGGAACAGTGCTCTTGCATAAAGATCAATTCTCTTTGCTGCTGATGGAATGACAGGCTTGGGAGGAGGAGGCTTCTTGTTGTTCTTGGCTTGAGATTTCCCGAGCCCATTGTTGACTTCAATGGGCTTCCCGTAACAGTCATAATTCGATAACTCAAAATCCCTTGGCAAGCTTCCAACAATGCTGAAATCATTGGATCTCAGATCAGATTTCGAAGTGCAAACTTTTTTGCATCTGGTCTCACCAACCTATGAAATAAAGAGTGAGGGGAATCATGATCTACTCTCCAGATTTCATTAACAAACCTAATGCAGCTGCTAGAGAACACTGCAAACAAACATATAGGAAATTACTTGTTGATAGGCATACATTACATCAGCTTAATTTGCTGAATGGTTGCATTATAAAGTACTTAAGGATGATCAGTCAATCATACAAACTAATCCAAACATTCATAATTGTGTAATTTTTCATGCACAAGGTGCCTCATGCTGTGCAACCTGTTATTGTTAGACTCCTTCATTTTAAGCCGATAGAAGGGGGTTGAATATTTATGCAGAGTATTTTTGGAAATAAGTTCTATGCTGATGAACCTGCAGGACAGATACTATTCAATACTTACATTTTTCTGAGGCCTGGAAGCTATATTCAGAATTAACTCTAAAATTCAATGGTTGATGCAAAATTAAAGTCTATTCTGGTTCTACGTAGTAGCCGGCTCAAGATCCTGTATCTCATCCTCGAGTGACCACCTTGCATGGTGAGAAAGCACTTTCTCTGCACCTGCAGTCCTTGGTGCCTCTCTAAAGACAGGTAACAAAGATGTGACACCATTCTCAGCCCTCCCTGGGCACTGGAGAACTGCGTAACTGGGAAATCTAAATGCAGCAAGTGAATACCTGTCTTTCCTGCAGCTCCGTCAATGCTCTTGGGGATCAAGTACTACCATGGTACGGGTAATTCCTTGTGAATCATTCTCTTCTAAAGACCAGACAATCATACTGGCACAGACAATGAACATTTAAAAGAAAAAAAGTATTTTTTACCCTTAAAACTGAAGTGTTTTGGGGAAAAAACAACCAACCAGGTTCTGTATTCCCTCCCTTGGATTTTATAAAGTTTATATTTCGGGTACAACAAATCTCTAGGAGGACCAGCCCCACACTGTTCAAGGAGCTTGAAGGGATTTGGAGACTACTTGGAAGGCACTGTGCTTTGTGACTTGGGTGAGTCTCTCCCGAAGTTTCATTTCAATCAGACTATACAGTAAAGCAGAAAAAAAAAAAAAAAAAAAAAAAAAAAAAGAGTACAGGTTCTGAAACTTAACTGAATTATTAATAATGCCATTTTTTTCACATATTGAACCTGAGAGTTCGTTGGAAAAAATGCCAGCTTGCAGATCAGGTTATACACATGGGCAACTGACATTAACATAAGTTTCACTAGGGCTTCCTGGAGCCAGCGATTCAGTAAAACTTGGTTCCTCCAGAAGCTGCCTGTCCCTCCTTCCCAGCAGCCTGTCTCTCCTCCTTTACTCTCTGCTCCCTCCACCTCTGGTTTTCTGCAGTCTTAGGCTGATCAGGATATTTGCATCATCACATTTTGTAACAAAAATAATAATAGTGAAATACAGCACCAGACTTCTGGATGAATGAAAAATATTCTGGAGAACATTGTTAGCTTCTCTGAGACAACTGACAAAGTATCCTGGATGAAAAGAACTGAGGCAGTCAGGAAGTGACCTAAACTTCAAATGGGGCTTTTCCTCCTATTACTGACAATGCTGATTCTGGTGAAAGGTAGAAGAGAAACACAGCACTATTCCCTCAGGAAAGAGTGGATACACCTCAGATTTGCCAGACTCATACTCCTCAGGAAAACAGTAAATTTTGAAAGCAATGCACTAAAACTGAGGTGCAGGTTACACAACAAAACCACGATTACGGGTTATAAAAAACAAGATAGGTGTTCCACGAGAGTAAGGCAAAACTATGCATACAAACTTCCAGCGACTGTTTCTCAGTCATCAAAGAGCTGACAGACTGGGACAGCGTTCAGTCTTGGAGTAGCAGGGGCAAACTGTCTAGTAACGTGGTGACTGAGACATGTACGAACACGATTACGTGCCCCTGGGTGAAATGGGTGCTGTCAGTCAGCGATCTGAGAGGTTCCTTCCAATCAGATCATATCCAACAACATGGGTAATAAAGATACAAAGCAGACCCCTGTGCAATGAAAGGGTAACTTGCAGGACTGGGGTGCACGTTAACTGAAGAGTCACAGGAATATTACGTTTTTCCCATGGTCACAACTAGTGAGATTTAGTAAGGCCATTACAAGCAATAGAACCATGTATGAAATGACAAGCCTCCTTTTGGATTTGCAAGCTTGTAGTCCATTCCTCATACTACCAGCAATACATTGTAAAACTCAGTGATGCTAATTGTAGCCTAAGCACTCACATTTACAATACAGAATATTCCTGTTCCAACCACAGCATCTAGAGTGGTCCCCTAAAGGCTGCTACATGTCAGTCCTAATTCACTTGTGGGACAAACAAACCAAGGGAATTGCTTCTAGGTCACCTCTACCTTATAAGCAAAGGTCTGGTTGCAGCACGTTCACTCAGAGCTCTGTTTAGCTTAGTGTGAGCTGGAGTACTGATTTATCAGGGTGACACATCCCTTGTAAAAGCAACCTGGCCCAAATTTTTGTTTAATAACTATATGTTCCTTTGAAAAATAATTTATTTAAATTCCCTGGGTTTACAAATCCAGTGCGTTTCACTTTTCTATAGTTAGTCACTGCCTAGATATATTTTTAAATTTATTCTCGTACCAACACTCCAATATTTCTGTTGTTTTAATCTAAATTCACTTCAGTTGACCTACAGCTTTCCTTAAACAAAGTGAAATAACATATATTGAAAGTAGTTTATCTGCTTTTTATTCATCCTTTCTTGGTTTGTGCTAGAAGTGTAACGATATTCCCGACACTCACCCAGTGCTACAGGAACCATTTCCGTGGAAAATGGTACCACAGGACTTGATTTTAGAGCACTACACTGAAGACTTGCAAAGGAAGTAAAATGCTGTTAAATGTTATGTCATTTTGACTTCATCCTGACACAGAACTCAGTCCTCCTGGAAAATATACGACATCATTTGCCTTCTCCTGCCCCAGCACCACGATCCACGGGCCAGACCCAGCCCGCATGATGCTTCCACCAGTTCTATGGCTTTTCCCCTTCAGGGGACGGGGAGAGGCTGTTTGGGAGGGGTAAGCTGCTGGCACAGTGCAGGGCCTCCCCCTGTCCCCAGCAGAACCTGGTAGCTGCTCCTCGTCCCTCTGGCAAGGAGGTGAGGGGGCTGAGAAGGGCATGGGAAGGCATTGTGGCTCTTGGGGCTTGCCCCAAAACACAGAGCTAGCTCCCTTTTCTCCCTGGACCGGGCCACCTTGTCTGGGTTTGGTATGTTGGAAAGGACACCTGCCTTTTGATGAACAGCTCAGAAAAACCTAAATATGACTCCCAGAGGCCAGACGGCAGCTCGCGGTGAGCCCTTCTCACCTCTTCCAAAATTCGGGCTGACCGGTGCCTGCCGCCAAGCCCGGCACTTGCTGGGGCCGCTGCTTCAGAGCTGCTGCATGGGTGCCACCACAGTGGGGCCGTACCCCAGTCAGCTTTTGTTCGTAGAGTTAGGGGAACAATGTGCTAAGAAAATGGGGAAAGAGAAGAAAGGGAGAAGTGCTGCCTGTGCATGCAGACTGGCAGAGAGGGGGAACTAACTCCCCACCGCTGCCTCTGCTGCTTCTGGTGCTCCTCATCACTCTCCACGTTTACTGCCCAAACTAGTTACACTAGATTTTCCTTTAAAAACATCCAGGATGGAGAATTTTTTCCATGACCCACAAACATATGTACCTTATTTCTAACCTGAATTTACTTGGCTTCAAATTTCAGTCACGAGGCATGACTGTAGTTAGTCTGATTAACTGCTGGTACTTATAGATGGTAACAAATCTATCCTTGATTTTGCATAATTCAAATGATGTCACTGGGTCGACACATGAAGCCAAGTCAAATGTTCTTAAGAGTTTCTTACCTCCACATCATTACCTCTGTCAACCTAATTGATAATCTTTTAAAAAATTATATTCAGATTGATTAAATCAATAAACATACAGATCAGCTTTAATTTCACTGACCCATTTAAATTTATTAGCTAACACGGGGCTGAATTATGAATAATACTAATGATAATTATTATTTATGAATAATAATTTTTAGTCAGACCCCTGTTAGCTATGCAATATTTTCCACTGATTGATGTCAGGCTTATAATTATTCATGTTATGCCACTTAGCCTTTAAAAGTACTGGCACAAAGTTAGCTTCTTGCTGTCTTTTGGAACCCTCCCAGTTTTAATGAATTTATTAAAAAAATCAACATTAATGTTCCACAGCACTCATGGACCAGCTCTTTAAAAAATCCCAGATGCAACTTAAGCTGAAATCTCAATTGTAAAATGTCTAACTTTAATAGCTACTGTTTAACATCCTTATTGGCTACTGTCAATGAAAGCTAGTTCATCATCTGATTGAATATATCTGGCTTTTCCCTAAACACAAAGCAGAATATTTGTTCAGCACTTCTGGCTTTTGTGCTAATTCTTGGTATCTCTGTCTAGTATTGGACCAATGCTCTTGTTACTGGTTTTTGTATTCTTGCTATACAGATAAAGTAACTTCCTATTGCCCTCAACTATGCTAACCATATATCCCATTTGTTACCTACACCTATTATCTACACCTATTTTCTGGATTTTCACTGATATTAATTGCTATCAGCTTTTCCATTTGGCAGTGAGAAGAAAAGAGAAACGCTTGAGTTAATCTTCAGTCTTTGGGGAGTTTGTTTTCAATCGTGCAGTTTGTTGCTCTTTTTTTTTTTTTAATTAGTATAGCTTCCCTTCTGGTCTGTTACTGTTTTGAACATTGTCAGATAGCTCACCAGCATAATTTATTTTTTTGTGTTTAAATTCTTCCACCCAGATAAGAAAAAAATAGTTTTCAAATTTGCGAAATCTGTCCTTTCACAGCACCAAAAATGACTAGGGACTTGATTAAATCTGTTCAGTGCAAATAGAATAAAGATCGTTTTCAGTTGACTGTTCATCCTGTGATCAAGTTCTCTTTATCCATCAGGATGAAGTGTAATATCAAATGCCATCATTTTGGGTTCGAGAAT